GTATGTTAGTAAGTTGTGTATTTAATACATTAACTGCCATGTGAGTTATATTTAACTCACACTAGTTTTGAGTTCAGGGCTTCGTGAAGCAAAACCTGGGCAAAACCCTGCAGTTGGTTCATGAAAATCTTACTTGTTGATGTTCTTATTGTTACAGTTAATACTGACAAATTCATTCTAAAAACATGGAGGAAATGAATAGAAGTCAATAAATTTGTTTTCATTAAATTCTAAAGGATCGTTTTGTTTTCAAAGTTTTTATTCTATTTTCATAATAAAATATTGTGGCTCCAAGGAAAATTTTTTTTTCTAATGTGATAGTCAATGTGTTAAACTTCCTTCAAATGTATATTAAACAGTTTGTAATTATGTACTGATCTGGAGGAGCCAGGCTGTCTGTGTGAATCCCACCTCCCCTGAAAAGCTAGTTCTGTTGCATTGGGCAGGTTACTTAAGTTAACCTCATAAAATTCTTGAATGGTTCCTGGCACATGGTAAGTACTCAATAAATGTTAACTACTTTTATTACATCTTAAAATGTTATCCCTAACTACTTACCATTTTTTCAGCATCTTATATCTGTTGATATCTTATGTTAAAGATAATTGATAAGCAACTTGTTTGTTGATATTTTAGCCAGCTACTTTTCTTAGTAGAAATTTAATAGAGTGCTGGTAGAAAGTAGTATAGGCTTTTAAACATATTTTGATAGACTTACAAGTATAATTTTAATTCATTTTGGTAAAATAACTTGAAAATCACATATAAGTTTGATGCTTTGAGTGTTCAGCACAAATTATTATTGTGTCAATGTATGATATGTGTTTAATTATATTTGTCTCTCCCCTCACTCTTTCAGATTTTAAGGCTAGGTGGAATTGCTTATTTTCTGAGTAGGTTAATGGATCCACCATCAAGTGAGGCAGTGTTGCTCTCCATAAGACACCTGATGGAACTGGTAAATTCGATTTTTGTTTTTTTTAGATTCTGACAAATTTAGAGTGTTAGAGCATGTAAACCAGTTAATTGTAAAATTTATTTTCATCACTGCAAAGGAGTCCAGTGAATGTGCAGTGCCAAAATTGGTTCACCAGTTGGCTCTCAGCTTAGGATATGAGATATGCTTTAGAAAGCTATATATTGATAGCTTTGATATTCTTATATGACTGGGCTCTTTTTGCAGTTTTATTTCATTGCAGTCCTGATTTAAAATTACATAAAATTTTGAAATTTTTAAGTTACTGGTCTTCATATGTTTTCTTGAAATGAACTTGATTGGTTTATTCCACTCTTCCTGATTACCATATTTTAGAGCTTTTGTCAAGTCCAAGTAACTTAATGGTCCGAGTATGGTCATCTTATAAAGGCAACTCTTGTATTTTTTGAAGGGACACTAACAGGTGGCTTTTCTCCAAAATACTGTATTCTTCCATCTGTCATTTTACTATTACAACTTGTTTTCTTAGGATAAGGTTTTCTGATTTCATTAGTTCCTTTTTATGGAGTCAGTGTTTTAAGAAACCAATTCCAGTGTCTTAAGTGACCACTTAGTCTTCAGCCATATCTGCACAAGACCATGTTGAAAGGGGCACACAGCTAGCTACTGGTTATTGTTTAGTGTGGGGAAAAAGGTACAAGGGGTTAGAGCCGTGTTGTCCAATATACATGCCACTAGAGCCATATGTGGCAGTTTAAATTTTGAATTAAATTGAAACTTTAGTATCTCATCGCACTCACAAATTTCACAAGCTCTGTAGGCATTAGTGGCTACTGTATTGGATGGTGCAGAAATAGAACATTTCTGTCATTGTTACAAGTTCTATTGGTTAGTGCTAGGTTAGAGGATGCCAAAGACACATTTTATATATTATACAGGTTTTTTGGGGCCAACCATGCAGATAATCTTGGAGAATTTGGTCATATTGAAATATTGTAATAGCTTTTAACATAATAAGCTGTTTAAATGAAAAAGCATTATAAATTATATACCCATCTCTATGAGAGTTTGGATTAGATTTAATGAGGTTACTGGTGTTTTAGGAACTAGTAAGGTTTTACTATTGACCTCTTTTCACCTCTAGGCTTTTAGCTTATAGAATATGGTTGTGGAGAGCTAGGTAGTGATCAGAGAATCAACTTACTTATGGTAGAGGTGGACAACCACAGGACTCAGCTGGACTCGGAAGCCTGAGTGGGATGACTTCCTCTCTCCCAACTGAATAAAAAAGCCAGTCTTAGCCATTTGTAGGCAACACAATCGTGAAAAGGTCAACAAACCCTTGCCAATGGTGGGGTCTAAGGCCCACATTTTTAAAAAATGTTTTTATTGTAAAATATATTAATAGCCTGTGCATCTAGAAAAAGGGAGCAAAACAAAAATGTGTAGCTTCATAATTTATCACAAATTAAACACCATGTAATACTTACTTATGTTAAGAAGTAAGAATATTCCCAGTATGCTAAAAGTCCCTTTGTACCATACCCTGTTCCAGTTATTCCATTGTCCCTTACTCCCAAAAATAACCTCTATTGTGACTTTAATGATAATCTCTTGCTTGTTTTTTATTGATGGTTTTACCATACAAGTATGCATCTCTATAAAGAGTTCAATTTAATTTTGCCTATTTTGGAACTTTACATGAAGTCATACAGAATTTGGTTTTTGTTTTTTTGTTTTTTTGGTTTTTTTTGGTCAGGGGAACAGGGCTCTAGATTTTTTTCACTTAACATTGTGAGATTCGTCCTCATTACTTTTTTTTTAGGCCATATTTTACTTTATGAGTACCGAAAGACATTTTTGTTACTTCCAATTTTGAGCTATTACATATAATGCTGGTATGAATATTCTTCAATAGTCAGTGTTTCCTGGTACACTGAGATGTCAGGTATATATGTATGATCAAGATTGGTGGATAATGCCCAACAGTTTTCCAAAGTTGCCAAACTGCTTACACGCCTACCAGTGGTGCATGAAAGTTCCCATTGCTCTGTAGCTTCACCAACACTTGGTATTAGGTCATTAAATCTGAAATGTCTGATTTTGAATTAAAACTTTATCATGTGTCAAACAAGAAGTAGTACAATTAATCAAAGTATGCACCTAAACTATCAACACAGTTTTGCCACCTTACCGATAACTTGTGTCTGCCAGCAATGAAGAAGCCTGGAGAGCAAGTGGTGATGAAATAGTGAAAGGCGTTTTCCACAGCTTGTTGAGAATTGAATATTTTTCCTTGCAAGAAGTGGTCCAAAGCCTGGAAGAAGTGGTAGTCAGTTGGTGCAAGGTGTGGTGAATAGGGTGGATGACAGAATTTCCAAGTCCAGCTTCTGTAGTTTGAGCAACGTTGTTCATGTGACAGCATTGTCTTGCAAGAGGGTTGGCATGTCACTGTTCACAAGTCTGTTTAATTGCAAGCATCCTCATCATTTCGTCCAGTTGGTTGCAGTAGACATCCACTATAATCGATTGACCAGGTTTCATGAAGCTATAGTGCATGATATCAGTACTGGACCACCAGACACCATTGGATTTTTTGATGAATATTCGGTTTGGGACTATGTTTCCGCACTTTATCTTTATCCAGCCATTGTGCCTAACACTTGCAAAAAGAATCCATTTTTCATCACATATAATAATACAGTGTAGAAATGGTTCACCTTTATGTTGTGACAGTAAAGAAAGGCAAGCTTCAAGACAATTTCTCTTCTGATGCTCATTTAACTCACTTGGAACCCATCCATCCAGCTTCTTTACCTTGCCAATTTGTTTCAGGTATTCCAGTATTGTTGGAATGGTAACGTCAAACCTTGCTTGCTGCTAATTCACATGTAGATTGAGATGGATTTGCTTCTACTACAGCTTTCAGCATATCATTATCCACCTTGGTGTCAGGTCAGCCACGTGGCTCATTTTCAAGATTAAAATCACCAGAATGAAACTTCTCAAAGCATTGATGTACTGTGCATTCGTTAGCCATATACTTAAACACTTCATTGATATTTCAAGCTGTCTGCACTGCATTGGTTCCACGGTGGAACTCGTATTCAGCAATAACACTAATTTTTGACTTACACATGGTTTCACAAAAATTGCTCTAAAAAAAAATGGAAAGATAATCACAAGCCAAAACATGCAGTTGAAAGAATAAAGATGTACCTTCACAATAAAAAAGGAAACAAGAAGTGTCAAAATGAAATGTCGGAGATATCAGCTGTCAAACTTAGTACTTAACATATTAACTGTCATGTGAGTTGTATTTAACTCATGCTAGTTTTGAGGCTGGGGCCTCATGAAACATATGTAACTCACATCTCTTCACCTTGGGAGCCGTAAGAATTATTTTTCAGATTGCATGTAACTCACACACAGAAAACAATAAAAAATAAATTTTTCATTAGATTAGAAAGGATTGTTTTGTTTTTGAAGTTTTTATTCTATTTTTGTAATAAAACACTGGCCCCAAAGAAAAAAATATTTTTTCTAGTGTGGCAGTCAAATGTGTTAAGGAAATCTGACATTTCATACTTAATAACCTAATACTATCAGTCTTTTATTCTAACCATGCTGGTAGGTATGTAGTAGTTTTAATTTGCATTTCCATAAGTATCATTGAATTTATAAGCAACTTTTCATGTTTTTTGCCCATTTAGATGGTCTCTTTTATAAATTTTTGGTGCCCGTTTTTCTGTTAGATTGTAAATCATTATACACTTCCTGTGTACTCCTTATCTGAGCCCTTTATCAGTTGTATATTGCACATGTCTATATTTTCACCTTTTCTCTTTTTAGTAGTATCTCGATACACAGAAGTCCCTAATTTTAATGTAATCAAATGTATCAGTCTCAAAGATTATTGCTTTTTGCCCTTTAATAAGTCTCTACTCTGGGATCATGAACATACATTTTTAAAAAGTTCATTGTTTTATCTTTCCCATTTAATCTATAATCCATCTGCAGTTCATTTTGTATGTGTGTGGTGAGGTTGGAGTCAAAGGTTTTACATATGTAGATCCAGTTGACCCTTGACCAAGCACTGTTTATAGAAAAATTCATCCTTTTTTCTTCTTTGTTATGCAGTCTTTGTCATAGGTCAAATGTCAGTAGATATGTGTGTCTGTTTCTAGGCTTTGTTCTATTCTGTTGGTCTATATTTCTATCCTAAGTGGGTTCCACGCTGCCTTTATTACTCTAACTTTGTAATTAATAAAACTTGCTATCTGGGAGAACTAATCACTCCTTTTCAATCTTTTTCAAGAGTGTCTTGGCCCTTTGTGCTTTGTATTTCCAAATACATTTTAGAATCTTGGGATTTGGATTGTGATTGCATTGAATCTGTACATCGATTTGGGGAGAACTGACATCTTTACAGTATTGAGTCTTAGCAAACAAGGACATCATGTATCCCTCCATTTATTTGGGTATTTAATCTATCTCAGTATTGTAAGAGTTTTCTGTGTAGAGGTTTTATGCATCTTTTTTTAGATTTATTTCTAAGTTAATGGTATTTTTGGATTCTACTCTTTTAAATTTTTCATTTTCTTGTGAGTCTGATTAATATAGAAAAGAAATTGGTTTTCGAATATTGATCTTGTAATCATTAATGCTGTTAAACACCCTTATTCTAATAACTGTATGTAGATTTTTTTTCTGCATACACAGTCACAACTTTAAATAATAATTTTATTTATTCCTTTCCAATTCTCTAGGACCCTTAGTACAATGTTGAACAGAAGTAGTATGATAGTGTACAAATCTTGTCTTGTTCTTCTCAAAGAGAAAGCTTTCAACAAGTTGTCATCGAGTATAAAATTTGCTGAGGATTTTTTTGTGGAAGCCGTTATCAAATTAAGGACATCCTTAGTTTACTAAGAAATTTTTATTATATATGGGTAGATAATCAATTTTATCAAACACCTTTTCCAAAAGCTTCTGATAAAGTTATGATCTGACTTCTTTAGTTTGTTGATGTGTTGAATTACATTAATGTTTCAGATGTTAACAAGTTTTTATTCTTAAAATAAGTCTAACTTGGTAGAATTCAATTTGCCATTATTTTGTTTTGTGTTTTTCATATGTAGTTTTCCTTTCATCAGATGTTCCTGTCAAATTTAGGTATCAAGATATGCTAGGCTCAAAAAACAAGTTGAGAGTATTAAGATTTTTTTCTTTATCTTTTTCTCTGAGAGAGTTTTAAAGTTGAGGGCATTGTCTCCATAAATGTTTAGTAGAAATCTGTGCCTGATGGGATGCTTATGGATTCTATTTTTTGTTATTTCTTGTTTGTGTCTTTGTATACCTATTTTAATTGTGTATTGGAAATTCTACAAAATTCTTTGTAGATAAAAATTTGAATAAAGCCCAGGATAAGGATAACTTCCTCCAGCAAGAATTTATGTTGCTTCTGCCAGGAAAATAGGGCTTATAGGCTCACCTCTCTGGACGTGTAATTCTTTTGTTAATTCCTGGGCGTCTTTAAGCCACTTCTCTAGCTCTCCACAGTGGGATGGTTGGATGAAGTTACCTAGGGAATCAGAGCAGAAGTCAGTCCTGTTTCCCAGGGTTCTAGATATGTCTTTTATCTTTGGCCTTCCTGTCTCATGCCACCTAAACTACTAGAATCTAGGGCCATGGTTCCCAATCCCCAGGCCACAGACCAGGCTGTAGAGCTCGGCACCATACCCTCCCACCCCCATGGAAAAATTGTCTTCCATGAAGCTTAGGAAAAGGGGGGCGCGCACAGCAGGAGGTGACCAGCAGCTGGTGGGTAAAGCTTCATAGGTCTTTACAGCCGCTCCCCATTACTCAGATCACTGCCTGAGCTCTGCCTCCACCACCGCACCCCCCCCACTAACATCTCTGGAAAAATTATCTTCCAGGAAACTTATCCCTGGTGCCATAAAGATTGGGGACTGCTGATCTAGGGGTTATGCATTACATATTTCAAATATATAATAGTGTCTCCTTTGTTTTTGTTTTTTCCAGAACTATTGTACTTTATACTAGGTGATTTCCTTTATTTGACTGAAAGTTTGCTAGTTTGTTATTTCTGTTATTTCTCTACTAATATGTACTGAAAAGCCAAGTTGGCGGATTAATTTTGTTTCTGTTTAAATAACTTTCTAACCTTTGCTGACTTCAGAATTTTTGTCTTGATGAAGAAAACTAAAGCTGAACAATATTAGGGTATTTGGGCTTACGAGAATGAGTATTGGCCTAAAGCAAACTAAAATAGCCTTAAATGTAATGTTTTACAATGTCTATTTTAAACATAAACTCTTCCTTTACAGAATGCTTTGGATAAACAGGAAGAATTGACACCTCTTGGAGTCCACTTAGCACGATTACCAGTTGAACCACATATTGGAAAAATGATTCTTTTTGGAGCTCTGTTCTGTTGCTTAGACCCAGTACTCACTATTGCTGCTAGTCTCAGCTTCAAAGATCCCTTTGTCATTCCATTGGTAAGAAAGATTAAGTATAGGCATTTTTAGATACAGAAAGTGATTGCTTAGATACCCTTTATTAGCTATTTATTAGAATGCTCTGTTACAGCATCAGAACAATTTAAATTGCCTTTATCTGTTTTTTATTAAGGGAAAAGAAAAGATTGCAGATGCAAGAAGAAAAGAATTGGCAAGGAATAGTAGAAGTGACCACCTAACAGTTGTGAATGCATTTGAGGTAAAAATAAATGAATTAATTTAAAAAAAACTTGTTCTGTACTGATAGATTATTCGAGTGAAAAGCTGATAATAGGATATCAGCACATTTAACCTTTTAAAATCTATAATATCATAAATATCAGGAATGCATTGCTGAGAATGTTTAAAAGTACGTGAGCATTTGAAAAAAATTGTAATTCATTTTCAATTTTGTAATAGCTGATTACATTTACTCCTTTGGGGAAAAGTGTCTGTTTTGGTAATAATAGAACAAGTAAACAATTTATTTTAAAATTTTGTATTTGATATTATTTCTTGGTATCCTTGTCTTATTGACATTCATCATAGTCTCTATTTATTAATAAACTATATCTATATTCAGATGTAACATTTTAATATAGTATCATAATCATGTACATAATTCAGATTAGAGAGACATTGTCTGCTCCCAAAAGCCAAGCTTATCCAAAGATAAACATTTATCACCCATCTTTGTAAAATTTAAATGTAATTTGGTTTTTAGAGGCAGCATTTTTTTTCTATAACTGTAGATTCAGTTTTATACTGCATATTATGGGAAAATGTATGGGTTTTTTTCCCTTTGAGTTTATTCAGCTTGTCTTTCCTTTTTCCCCACTTCCTCCTTCTCTAGCTAAAAGAAGGTTGTGAATTTGAAAATACATAATAGCATTGAAGTTTAACAGTGTGCTCTTTTTGATTAATGTTATGTACAGTTATAGTGGGATTTTGTGCAAAATACACAATTTATGTACAGGGTGTCCCACACATGGCCATACATAGGGAAAATGAGAAATGGTAGCTAAATATACATTTATGTACAAAATAGTCATTATAAAGTTTTATAAAATTGTATGGAAACTAAAAAGGAAAAATTTTACAAAATTGTATGGAGACTACAAAGGAAAAATTTTACAAAATTGTAGGGAGACTGCAAAGGAAAAATTTTGTAATGATTATTTTGTAAATGTACATTTAGCTACAATTTCCCATTTTCCCTATGTATGGCGACTTTTGGGACACCTTACATTACTATTTAACTTGTAATTAATTGTATAAAGTTCTGGAACTTCAGCAGTGGTAATCTCTTAAGGACTGTGATCGTGGGGTGTTTGTCTTTTTGGTTTGTAAATTATAAAATTCTTTGAATTTTTTACAAAGAAAATTAAATATCAGTAGAAGATTAAACTATCATTAAAATAAAGGCAGAAACTGGTAAGTAATCTTTGCTTTGGGGAGCAATATAAATAGATTTCTTCATTTCTTTGTCCCATAGGGCTGGGAAGAAGCTAGGCGACGTGGTTTCAGATACGAAAAGGACTATTGCTGGGAATATTTTCTGTCTTCAAACACACTGCAGGTGATGGTTAATGTTTTGCAGTAATTATCATATATGCTAGATTAGAGAATGTATGTATTTTATACAATTAGCTCTGTAGCAAAAAGTTAAAATACAGAAATTTTATGTATTTGTTATATACAAAATTATAGGGAAAATATTAAATGAACTTCAACAAAAC